GATTATTTTTGCATTTCTGAAGATATTAAAATAAAAGCAAAGTTTTATTTTATCTATCTACATTTTTATTCATTAATCAGTGAATACATAATTTCCTGATTAAAATGTTTTCATCCTACCAGTGAGTAATTCACTTAAAAATTAACCACTTAAATAGAGACAAACACTTTACTTAACAAAAAAAATATATATATTATTTTTTTTAAGGAGAAAAAAAGTTATTAATTAGTTTACCTTTTAAAGTTGGATAGTTTACCTGTTAATGGATGAAACGCTGGGAACAGTGTCGTTGTCGCAGATGCCCTCTGCCAGCAATCTGTCTCTGATTTCCCAGGCAAACATGGTGGGATTTTGTCTCTTGTAATCTGCAATTTTTTCCACCACTTTCGGAGTGGCCACTTTGGGTTTAGACCCACCAATCACCCCTGGTTTTATGCTTCCAGTCTCGTAGTATCTGTAGGAAATAAACCAAAAAAACTTTTTAAAACTTTTCCTGCACGTGTCAAATTTTAATTTGTTTCATGAAAAGTTAGTAGGCCATTTTTAAGTTTAAGTCATAGCACAAAAAAAGTTTCCATGTCAGAAAACAGGTGTAGTATAAAACAATTCGAATCATGGAAAGTTTTGCGCACAAAAATAAAGAATATCTGATTTAATAGGCTAATAAGTTCCCATCGTTCAAGTTACTTGAGATATGAAAGATCCAGGGGATAAGCCTGGATTTTAGGTTTGCTTTTTCTGCTGAAATCACTTCTCACCTCCCGAGGATCTTGCTGACACAGCCGTGGCTCACCCGAAGCTGCCTGGAGATGTCGCAGGGCCGGACGCCCTGATGCGCAAGCTCCACTATCCGCTGCCTCACCACGTCCGGGAGGGGTCTGCCGTTCACGAACACCCCACCAAGCTGGTTCACACCTCCGTGCCCTACGTGGGATACAACAGCAGCAAAAACACACAGACGTAACATTACATAAGGTCGCTATGAGAAATCAAGGAATGTGCAGGTAATGGAAATGGATTGATGAAAAATTCCTTTCTAACGAAAAAACAAAACTATGCAGGAAAAGTATGAATAAAGAATTGAAACATGAGAAACAGTGCTCACAGCAAAAATAGCCTTCTGCAATTAATTAAATAAAATGTCTAATTTGAGGGGATCATGCACCAATTTTCAACTTTTAATTCTATCTATCTATCTATCTATCTATCTATCTATCTATCTATCTATCTATCTATCTATCTATCTATCTATCTATCTATCTATCTATCTATC